TCCCTCTTTTCTGAGTAAGGCTAACACTGTACTGGTTAATAGCCATACTTCAAAGATTAAATGAAGAGTTATAACACAAAAAAATAAATCTACAAGGTAATCAGGAATAATTTTTTAATTAATTATAGTATTTGAGAGAAAATAGTCTTAGGATCAACCTGGGCTTAGAAGTTACTTTTAAGCCATGGCTCTGATTAAGATCCATTCTCTAAGCCCCTACTTGGTATACCTATTTCCAATTCAGCGATAAGGTCTGACAGCTAGTAGAGGCAGATGTCTGATGAATGCAAAGATTTTGCACCTTTATTTGTCTGCATGACAGAAGTGTAATTGAGAAGACTGTGAGGAAATTGATCATTTGAAATCTCACTCCCTCATATACTCTTTTTTGTTCTTTGTAGTGCCAGGGTTTGAACCCAAGCCTTGCACGTGCTAGGCAAGAGCTCTACCATAGAGCTACATCCCTAGTCTGCATGCTCTTTTCCCCTTTCTCATCATTTCATTCTCCCCCAGCTACAATCTCAAGTACTAATTCTTAGTATTTCATATGACTTGAGATCCTTCATGGTGGTTCCATGAGATTTTGTTCTACCAAGAAAAGACAGGTTCTTTTTAATTATTAAAGTCTATTTCACATGTGTCATGTCCTTCACCACACTCAGATTGCCCAACAATGCTGCTTAATATCATTTAAACATCTACACTCAATGTGCTTGATTTACTTTGTTGGTAACAGTCCCTTCCTTAGGCAGTAAGACAATCCCTTATGTTGATTCAAGGTCACTGACAAAAATGATAAGTCAGTTATAAAGAATTTCATATGCATATGTATGTATGCATATATTCATCCAAAAATTAACAGAATAATTTTAATTTTTACATAAAATATCAACAATATCGTCTTTCTCTTGAAAATATTTCATTTCTTTAGAATGACAAACTACAGTGGCTTCACTAAAAAATGAGTGGGTAAATTTTAAGAAATCTATATAACACCTTAGAATCTTACTAGCTTACATCAAACTGACATTTTGCGTTTGTGTTTTGTCATAGCTATTTATTGCCACTTTCTAATTTTCTAATCCTTCATTTCCTATTAAATGCTTTACACATCAAAATAAATTGCTAAATTCAGAGATTGCCATGAAAAAGAAAAATCCTTTTGACTTAAACGAGAGAGGAACAGACATTTGGATTATAAAGTCTAAATTATACTCCAGGGTATTTATGCAAAAGGGTTAAAACCAAAGACAGAATCTGCTTGCTTATTAAAAATGCAAACATTACCTCAGTCATACAAATAGCCCCAAACTCCCCAGCCACTGCCTCTGCAGATCACCCACCAGCATTACCATTACATCATGTGACATTATGGAACAATAGTGAACTTTGTGTAACATTTGAATATATTGTTTTGAAAGAATAAACTGTCATTAAGTTGAATAAAAGCTTTCTGAAATCAAACCTGGGGGGGTACAGCCTTCACTGTGTGGCCCTTTTTACTACTTTGAGAAATAGCCTCATCCTGAAAGCAGTAAAGGGGGGAAAAAAGAGATCAGAGTATAAAGGCGACAGTGATGAGTGGCCCTAGCAGCCTCCTAGTAGACAGAGGGCAGGGTTTTAAATTACCAGGCAGAACAATGTCTAAGCAGGAGGCTCTGCAACAAATATGCTGTACCTTAAAACTCAGAACAACATCACTTTCACCACACTATTTCCTCTCATAGCCTAGAGAGTTAAATGATAGGCTTTGCTAAAACTGGAAACTGAGTCATATCCTATATACAAAATAGTTGAAACTAGGTGTCCTGATGCCATCTTAAGATGGGCTATCACTATAGCTACATGACTTTAGGCTATGTAAACTAAGTCAATCTATAAAATGGAAAAAATGGTAACTATCACAAAAGTATTGAGGGCATTTTCAGCTATTATTATCATAACTGTATTTATTTATTTCTACCCATTTTCTTTTCCCTTTGCTTATATTTTCTAATCATGGTCCAAAAGGTTTCTTCTTCCCAAGTGAAAGATGAGTATTACTGTAAATGCACACTGGCTTATTTCTGCCTGTAGTCTGGTCACAGTCACATGTTGCCATTTCTAGAATCCCACCATTCTCAAACAATTTCTTTTTTTTTTCTTCCTGTATTGGAATTGAACCCAGGGGGTGCTTTACCACAGAGCTACATCCTACATCCCCAGCCCTTTTTATCTTGAAACAGGGTCTCACTAAATTGCCCAAGCTGGCCTGGAACTTGCGATTTTCCTGCCTCCGGCTCCCCGTTGCTGGGATTGTAGGTTTGCACCTATGCCTGGTTCATCAAGTGATTTCTCTACCTTCCTTAGGCAAACACCAGAAAACCTCTTAACAGTCACCTGTGCCTCACTATTTTCAACCACTGAGCCACATCCCCAGCCCTGTTTATATTTTATTTAGAGACAGGGTCTCGGTAAATTGCTTAGGGGCTTGCTAAATTGCTGAGGCTGGCTTTGAACTTGCAATCCTGCCTCAGCCTCCCAAACCACTGGAATTACAGGTGTGTGCCATCAACATTTCTTAATAACAAAGGCTCAAAGCAGTAAGAAAACAATACAAGGGCAATATAATTAGTTGATGGCAAAATCCCAATTAAAACCCAACTATCAATGCAACCAAGTTCAGTTGCATAGCATTGTGTTACATTAACCATATCACATTAATTATTAACATTTATGGTTGATGATGTTAATGATGATTTTTAAATCTGAGGTTAGCTTCACTATTAAGTGGTATTTGGCATTAACCAAATCTTCTAGATACTTTCCTTATTAATCAGTTTATTATCATAAAGTATTGATTATTTCAAATGATGAAAAAACTAACCCCAGAAAATTATTTAGTATATCTCAAAGTTCTGTTTGTTTTGAGTAGTTTCCTAAAGTGAAGACAAGAATTGATCACATAATTGGGCTGGGGTTGTGGCTCAGTGAAAGAGTGCTTGCCTAGCACATGTGAGGCACTGGGTTTGATTCTCAACACCACATAAAAAATAAATAAATAAATATAAAGGCATTGTGTCCACCTACAACTAACAAATATTTTTTTTTAATTGGTCATATAAGGTCCCACCTAGGACTAGAAGAAATTGGGAGGTGAGAGGATGGAGATGGGGAATGAAAGGAAGATGGGGAATGAAAAATTTGTGGCTATAGATAGTACTCTGTGCAATTCCAGAAGGGATGGATTAGAGAATACAGCTCTTAATTTTCTAAAGTAAAAGCTAGGTCAAAGTACATTCTACCATCATGTATATCTAAAAAAGAACAAACAAAAAAAGATAAAGGTTATGTCTTTTAATCTGTCTGAACAAGTACAGATGCAAATTTCATTAATGTTCGTTTCTTTGGAGACTCATGTTCCTCAAAATAATAAAAACTAATAAGATGGATAATAGGATATCAAAATCTAACTCTGAGGCCACTGTAAAGCAGATGAAACTCTGGGAAGATGATATATGGATAATTAAATAGCACATTTTTCTTAAGTACAGTATGGGACAGTGCGATTAATATAGGATTTGATATCAGTGAAGAAGATTCAAGTTCAATCTCTGCTTGCCAGCTGTCTGATCTTGCACAAATTATTCAAATAATTAAATAGATTTTAATTCAATGTTAATTCAAGAATTAAATGGATCTTATGGGGGGAACATTTTAATACAGTTTTATATAAGTGTATGTTTTATATTATATGATACCAGGTTGTTATGACCTGGGTCTCCTTTCCAAAACTCATGCTGAAACTTAATCCCCAAAATTATATTCTAATGGATTGGGAGGTGGGGCATTTGGGAAGGGATTAGGATTAAATGAGGTCATGAGGATGGGAACCTAAGACTGCATTAATGCCTTTGTTACAAAAGGAAGAGGGAGCAAGCTATGTGATATCCTTCACCATGTCATGACCTAACATATAAGTCCTCACTAGATGCCACACAGGTAGCAGTGTCAAGCTCTTGGATTTCCAGAACTGTAAGGTAAATAAATCCTTTATAAATTACCCAGTCTGGCTGTGAACTGTGGCACAAGCCTATAATCCCCGCTACTCTGGAGGCTGAGGCAGGAGGATCACAAATTCAAGGACAGTGTGGACAACATACCAAGACCTTGTCTCAAAATATAAAATAAAAAGGGCAAGAAGTATAGCTCATTGATAAGAGTGCCACTGGGTTCAATTCCAAGTACTGAAAAAGTAAACAACTAAATTACCCAGTCTTCAGTATTAAGTTATAGCAACAGAAAACTAAGGTGCAGGTTAAATAAACTGGGCCTTACAATTCATTGTTTTCTCATTTGGTGATGGACATGGGATTGAGGGGAGGAGGATGCCTGGGGAACTATAGCATAAATACTGTTCACTTAACAGAAAAATCATTTCTAGCACTTAATGCAGATATAAAAACAATAAAGTTATGGCCTTCATATGACCTCAAAATACGCTTATCAAGTGGGTGCTCTTGCCTCTCATAAATACATTCTGATGCAAAACACTTGCCAGAATTAATTACAAATGCATCAGTGGTTGTAAAAGTTTTTTTGTGGGTCTAAACTAATCAAGCCATAGCCTAGATCACAAATAAGAATTAAAATCTTTTCAGGGAAATACAATAGGGAAGGGCCAACTCCAACACTATTCATTCATTACTCAGTCCCTACTGAACATTAGGCTCTATTTCAAGTGTTGGGGATTCAATTTTAAGACAGAAAGTTTCTGCCATAATGGAGTTCATATTACAGCAGAAAAACAGAGTAAACAAATTTATAATAGAGGTCAATGACTGAATGCTACAGAAAAAAAAAAAAAAAAAAACAAGCAGAGAAAAGGGCTATAATTTGAAATAGGGTAACCAAGGAAGGCTTCATGGAGAGATGCCATTTACGGAAAAACCCAGGGAGAGAATAATGGAGCCATATAAACCTCTCTGGCAAGTTCAATGAGACAAAATGCAACCCCTTACCTTTCAAAAGGGGCTGGAAAGTTGGAATCTCTTGTAACTTGATGACATCAGGATCATTGCTGACATTCCGTGAGGCCTGAGAGCCCTGAGCTACAACCACAATATCATCCATCTTGGCTCTATGCTTAGCTGGAGAAGGAGTCACTGAAAATAAAGTTACACTGCTCAGGAACTGCATAGTAGCACTCTGCTTCACCACAGCTGTTTTCAATGTAACAATTAGAAAGTATTTTTACATCATAAAATCTAGATTTTTTTTTTTTTTTTAGGTAGGAGGATGAATTCTCGGAGAACCTCTATTTTCTGTGGTATTAAAAAAATCCAAACATTACGAGAATATGACATGTATGAACTTTCACAACTAAACATTTTATTATTCAGTACACTAAAGTATAGGCAGGTTGTGTTTTAAACTTTTCCTTTGATTCCCCTGATCCTTCTGACATATGTCCCTATTTTACAAATGAGGAAATGAGTGTACAAAATTTGGCTGTGATTTGACCAAGGTCAATACTAGGAAAAGTTAGAAAAGAAACTGGAAATGCATGAGTTGTTGGTGCAAATAGGGTTGCAAAGCTATCTACCTTATCACAGCCCACCAGGTGTGTTTATAATAGTCTAGTCATGGGGAAAACCCCTGGTCTCAACTCAGATGATAGATCTATTCTTGAAACTCCAGGCCCTTTACCTCTGTTACAGCATTACTCCATGGACAGAAACAATCAACAGGTCTATTCTAGGCTGAAGCAAAATTCAGAAGTTTGGAGAACCGCTACAGAGGCAGGTCAATTTCAGGATCCTTAGGAAAATGTAATCCATTTGGAGGAAAGAAATTCAAACCAAGAAAGAAATTCCCAAACCAAGACCTGCCCCCCAAACATCTTCCTGGTTAGGGCAAGAATGAATTCTTGAAGTATGTTACATTCTAGAAGGTAGTATTCTCAGGTTTATCATGGCCATGTCTCAAAGGTGCATCCAGGGGATGTTACTGAACTGCTTTGCATTCTGGAAGTTGGTCTCCTGATTCTTGGCATTCACTCTTTTAGAAAAACCTCTGTGGGGCTGGGGCTATGGCTCAGTAGTAGCGCACTTGCCTGGCATGTGTGAGGCACTGGGTTTGATTCTCAGCACCACATATAAATAAAATAAAGGTCTATCAACAACTTAAAAAAAAAAAGAAATCTTTGCTACTTTTATTCCTTTTCAAGAAAAATTTCTTAATCACTTTTGGCAAATCACCTAACATTTTATAAAAGCAATGACAAAAATCTTTCCCATTACAAGTGTGATTCCTCCTTCCCCAGACTCCAGTGGAGAAATACCTTCTTCACAACATTCTAACTGGCCTCTATTATCTTATCCTTAAAATGAAGGTACTGTAAAGATTAAAAAATAAACATATGTAAAGCACTTGAGGGAATAGGCAAATTCTAACATCAGGAATGAACCTATGATGTTAGTTCATGGGTGAACAATGAAATTAAAAATGCCACCCCCCTTTCCCCAAACTGCTTCTGACCTGAGGGGCAAGAAATTGAGAGGCAGCCATTATTACTATGTTTGTTATAACATATGATATTCTGAGCCTTCCAAGGAAAGAATGTTAACAAGCTAGTTGATGTTGCTCACCTTTAAAAGCTGTTCCAACATAACCCCCCCAGAACTCAGGTCTGAACTAATCCTGAAGGACATCCTTCAGAGTGAATAATCCCTAGATCTGTTAGCTTCTACTTTTCAGAATGATAAATTCTACCAGGAAAAGAGCAATTCTAAAACCAGGACACTTTATAGGTCCCAGAGTTAATTCGGATTAGCAGGCCTGCAGCTTATTCAGAGCATTCCTAGCAGTCCCAGGATTTGTGGAGAACAAAAAAACAAAACCAAAAAAAGGGAGGGTGGGAATGTTCCTCAATTAAACACCATTTTTTTTTTTTTTGAGCACTCACTATATTCTCAGCATAGTAATTTTCCCATTCCTACCTCAAACTAAAAAAATATGGACAGGAGGAGAATAGAAGAGTTTGCCATTTGACCAACTTCTATACTATCAGAAAAGAAGCCAAGACACCTGAGGGGAAAAGGCAGTTTCTGGAAACCTTTACATCCAAAGATTCAGGGAGTCTGTACAGCTATCGCACATCTTTTCTAAAAAGAACCCGCTAAAACCTGTTTTTAAGAAAGCCTGTTTTGGAGGTCCTGTTTATGATCCATCCATTGTGTGAACCGAATCTCAGTATCTCAGTCGCCAATACTAGAGCCAAAAATCAATCAGGTCGTTGTTAAAAGATTACACTGCAGCTGAAGAAACGGCTGTTTTTAAAATTAATAATGGGCCTCGGCGCCTGCGTTGGCTTAGGGGAAATCAAGGCTAGGACAGACGGTTACTTTTCTTTTTTTTTTTTTTTTTAAGGAAGCATGGTGAAGGCTTTCTGTGCGCTGCCGCCGGCCGTCCTGGGAGGCAGCCTGCTCGCGAGCAGACCAGCCGGCTGGAGGAGAGCAGGAAGTTAGGGCACCGACCTGAGGAGTTCAGATCGTTGGGTCGGCTCTCGGCCTCGGAGCTCTGCTCACTGCCCATGGTGCCAGCAGCGGTGGCAGCGGAAGAACGGCGGGCGGGGCAGTGACCGCTCCGGCGACAGGGCAGGGACTGGGGACCGGGACGGGGACGCTAGACAGTGTGGGCGCCGCGGTGAGGCCGGAAAGATGCGCCCAGTCCGCGCAGGGACCGGGGCGGCCGGGATAAGGGGCCCTATTTGGGAGACAGACGTGCGAAGAGGCGCGGCGCGGATACCCGCTGCTCGCCCTCTTTCCTTCCGAGAGCCCTAAATGAAGAGGCGGGGGACACCAGCATTGCCGCGTCTGCGACCGGCGGGCGGCGCCGCTTTCACTCACTGGCTCGAACCCCGCAGCTCGCTCCTTCCGGGACGCGGATTGGCGGCTCCAGCGACTCGAGGCCTTCAGTTCCGGGTTATGAGGCGCTCCCACCGCACCCCACCCCACTGCCAAAGGGAGGGAAGAGGAAATCAGCTCCCTGGCCTAGAATGGTGCCTCCTTAAAGGGCCCGGCCACCTCTAAGAGCCTGACCGCCTCAAAGCTAGAACTGGCCTAAAAGGGTAAGCCCTTTCTTACTGTAAAGATGCGTCACCTTTAAGCACCACCCACACATTGAGCATTCTCACACCCATATACTAGGACGACTTTACAAAATAGGTATTTTGAAGTCTGTTTTACAAATGGAGAAAGAATGGTGCTACTTAAACCTAGGATGCAAATCCTCAACCGTCCGGATGGAAAGATCCTTTGTAAGCTTTGAAAACTGGGAGTTTGGAAGTGGAAAATCACACACACAAAAAAAAAATATTAAGAGAGCGTGAAGGAAATAACTGGAAATGAGATGAAAATAACAAATTGAAAATGCTGATCACCTAATTAGTGTGAGTGTGCATCTTCAAAGGTAAGTAAATGATCCTACATCATAGGCACTCTCTGGGCGTCTTGACAATTACCAGGTTACTGTGCAACTAGCAACAGGTGAGCAAGGAATTCAAGTAATGCAAAATGGCAGATTTGGCGGTTGGAGGATGTAAACTAGCAATGCAATGCCATCAAGGAGTTGGGTGCCCTAGGATTCTCAGGACTTTGCAACTTATTTTATACTGTTTCCTTCAAGAAATTACAAGCCAATACCTTGAGATTTTATATGTATAAATACTATTTCAGGAATGTCGAATTGACTAAACGATGTTTAAGTCTACTCCACTATATCACAGGTGTGTCCCCTATTTTACCTCATTTAGTTTTAATGAAACTTGATTTTGTAATGTTAAGGACTGTCTGATTTCAGACTTGGTGCTCTTTCCTCTAATTTGTTTGCAATGAGAAAATTGCAAACAAATGTTAAGTTCAGTGTTCTAAGAGAATATGAAGATAGAACTAAAAACTGCCTGAGATCAGAATAGACTCCTAAGAGGTGGTGAACCTATATTCTTGAGGTTCACATAAGCCTCAAGGAATGAGGGATTAAGAAGGACTCACTAAGCAGGTAAACCATTTCCTCCTGGAGAGCCCTTTGCTAGCCTTCCAGATCTGCCCTCCTTAAGAGTGAGAGAGGAGATAAAAGGGGAGTGGAATAAAGACTCATTCTAGTTCTTGTCCCCTCTCTTCCACATCAAAGTGTGTTTGTTTTGTGTCCCATACTCAACCCATAGTGGCATTATGATGTTGTTTATGCTTCCCTTTGGGTGACTATTTTATTTTAAAAGAGAGGTTCTGTCCCATCTCCTGATGAATGGAGAAATAAAATTGGTACATGCATATAGTGCAATATTATTTGGCCAAAAAAGGGGAGTAAGTGCTAATAAATTCTTCTACATTGATAAGCCTTTTTTCAATCAGCATCATGTTTTCAAGTTTTATCACAGAAGCCCATATATTGGACTGGGGATGTAGCTCAGTGGCAGGGTGCTTGCCTAGCATGTTCTAGATCCTGGGTTCCATCCCCAGCGCTGGAATGGGGGGGAAAAAGCCATATTGCCACATATTGTAATTCCATTTACATGACAGGTCCAGAAGAGGCACTACAGGTATAGAAATAGATCTGTGGTGGCCTAAAGCTGAAAAGGAAGCTGAGGGGGGATAAAGGGAGTGATTACTAATGGGATATGGGGGCTTCTTTCTGAAGATGTGGGAAATGTTCTAAAATTTATTGTGATGGTGGTTATACAGCTATTTTAAAAACCACCGATATGTACACTTTAAACGGGTGGATTGTGTGTTATGTAAATTTATCTCCATAAAGTTCTATTCAGAAAAAGGATATCTGAAAATGTAATGCCCTTATTGACTAACTCAATATTTACAGGAGGCTGCAATGTGCTGGGGGCTTGTTAGAGTCTAAGATAAGAGATCCAATAAACCCCAGGCCCTGTCCTTAGGAAACTTACATCCTGGTGGCAAGAAAATGAAATGAGTGTTTTTATAAGGATTCTAATGGTGGAACTTTATAGAAGTAGGAAACATTTGGGATTGATGCCTTTTAGCACCCCTAAAATCACTTCCACATGAGTAGCAAGTTGTGTTTGTTATTGTATGTGCGATAATGAACAACTGAACAGTCTTTTCAAGTTAATAAAGTACTTTCATATATATATTAGCCTCATGTGACCTGCCTATAAAGTAGAAACTACTTCCTTAATTTTACAGAGAAGTGATCTAGGTCACACAACTAATTAGTGAAAAAACCAGGACTCAAATTTTCTAAGACTTTTTCAAATTAATAAGTCCCATCCATCGGGTCTCCCAAGCCAGAAATCTGTTTACCTTTACCACTACCCCAACCAGTCACTAAGTCCTGGAAAGCCTGTCTCTTCTATATCTGTACCTTTTGAGGGGCTCATCAATTCTTCCATTTTCTGGAAGACACAAGGACTCTGACCTCACCTCCTTCAGTACATTCTCCATGGTGAGGCAGAGAGAAATTTCCAGAATATTAATTAGTTTTTTCTGATTGAGATTCTCTGTTCCTCTCTGTACATAGGCAATGTTCATGCCAGGTGGACTGACTTTCTAAATAGTCGTGCTTTTTCCATCTGGACTAGTTAGCCTTTTCCTCCCAGTCTAGCTAAGTGAATTTCATCCTAAGGAATGTTAAACCTAAAAAGATTTAACCTAGGTATCCCTTCCTGAAAGGCCTACCTCTGAACTTCCATGGTTAGCAGCTTCCATCATAACATTTATTCTTTCCATAACCACTGGTTTTCTTGTCTGTCTCTACTGAACTACAAACATCTTGAAGGTAGAGCTCATGTCTTATTGTTCTTCAATTTTCCTTGCAGGCACTTAATCATGTTTTCTTTCTTTTTATTTTTTATGTGTTGGAGTTATAGAAGGACAGTATGGCTTTTAAATTTTATTTATTTATTCTAATTTGTTATACATGACAGCAGAATGCATTTCAATTCATAGTACACATATGGAATACAAATTTTTATTTCTCTGGTTGTATACAAAGTAGAGTCACACCATTCCTGGTTCAAAAATGTGTCATTTTGGAGGTATGTCTGGGGGTGGGAGTGAGGGGAATAGTGATTTAGTAACAAACTTCTACAATCTTTGCACATTTTCCATTGTTTGGCAACAAATATATTTTAGTTAAATATTTACTGAGGGGCTGCAGTAGGGGCTCTAGAGGTAGAGCATTGCCTGTCATGTGTGAGGCCCTAGGTTCAATCCTCAGCACCACATATAAATAAATAAATACATGTACCTAGGGTAATGATGTCCATCTCATTCCACCATCTATACCCCCATGCTCCCTTCCTCCCCAACAGCATACCCTTGTTTTATTTTATTTTTATATGGTGCTGAGGATTGAACCCAGTGCCTCAAACGTGCCAGGCAAGCACTCTGCCACTGAGCTAGAGCCCCAGCTCTTAATCATGTTTTCTGAATAAAATACTTTTTAAAAATGCCTTTACATAGATGGGACTTCTAGCTCTCAAGAGAAGAGGATTAATAATCTTCAAGCAATAATGGATATGGTTTCTAGTTTATACACCTGTTTCATATCAGTAAAAAATTTTCCTTAATCATTATTTTTGTCCTTTGTTCACTGTTGTCACTTCAACAATAACAGTTCATTGTATCAAAACACTAATCTGAATTTTTTTAATTTTTGGTACTGGGAATTGAAACAAAGGGTGCTCTACCACTGAGCTATCTCTCTACCCCTTTCTATTTTTCATTTTGAGACAGGGTGTTGCTAAGTGGCGTAGGGCCTCAAAAAACTGTTGAGGCTGGCCTTGAACTTGGGATCCTCCTATCTCAATCTCACCAGTCCCTGAGATTACAGGAGTGCTCCACCATGCCTGGATAATCTGACATTTCTAATGATGGAAAGGTCTACTAGGATGGACTTACACAACAGCCCCAACAACAGAAATAAATGCACAAATGCATCAATCAATCCCTTACTGTATAAGGACAGTAACTTCACTGGAAAATCACTCTGGAGTTTACTTTTCTTTGGTAACTCTTTGAAACCAAAATGTGGCAACATTATTGTAAGTGGAGAGTAGATCATCCTCTGAATACAGCTAGTCCAGTCAGTTTCACAGACTATTGTTGACAAGTTTTCTCTGACAATATATACCTCCTATAGCTATTGGTTAAAACTACGGTGTAGCTGTTGGCTGTATAAGCCTACATTGCATAATGTTTCAGGTTCCATAGCTCTTTCACACCAAAGTAAATATATTGTCAAAGGTTAAACCATTTGGCAGAGTATGTCAGTGGTTCAAAAATATGTCATTTGGGAGCTATATCTGGGGGTGGGAGTGAGGGGAGCAGTGATTTAGTAACAAACTTATGTGCAATCTATGCACATTTTCCATTTTTGGCAACAAGTTAAATATTTACTGAGATATTGCAGTAGTGGCTCAGTGGTAGAGCACTTGCCTGGCATGTGTGAGGCCCTGGGTTGACTCCTCAGCACTACATATAAATAAATAAATAATATAAAAGATCCATTGACAACTAAGAAATATTTTTTAAAAAATTTACTGAGCACCTATTACATACCAGGTACTAAGCTAAGTGTTAGGGATACAATTTTAACTGTAATATGTTGTTTTCAACATCATTATTAGTCACACCTAAAAACAGTAAATCCTGCCGAAAGTCGCATGCTTTCCTCCAGGTTTGCCGGACATATAATATTTAACTCAAGAATTGTCGAATCTAATTGAAGACTCTCCATTATTCAGTTATGGAAATAGGATCCTCATAACTATATTCCAAATAAGATGCACTGTACATTTCCAAACATCAAGAAATTGCTCTCAGTGGTTGTCTCTGGGACGAGGGACTAGGAGATTGGGACAGTGGAG